GCATAGCTTAACAACTTGATACCTCTATAGTTGTTACAGTTTTAGAGATCTCCTTACTTTCCCTAGTGAAATTGGCTAAGATTGACTATTATAAAATGAAGAATAATTAACGCAAATAGCCATTCATTCAATCTTTAAGCAAAAAACAATAGGTAAATGTCGGTATAAAGAAGTACCACTTGTCTCGAAAGTAATTATTTTCTCGTCTTTTTATTTTTACATAAATAGCTAGTGATCGGATTTATTATTTATTTTTCGATAAGTATACACAAATTATACGTATAATGTTGGTATAATTTATGTATAATTTATGTATATTGATCGAAAAATAAACAGTAAATACTATCACTGCCTATTTATGTAAAAATAAAAAGACGAGAAAATAATTACTTTCGAGACAGGTGGTACTTCTTTTTTCTTTTCCGCAAGATCTTTTTTCTGATTTGCATAAAAAGTAGTAACAATTACAGAAACAAATTATAATTAGAAGTGGAGAAAATTATTGGGTTTGACAATGTGTGTACTCATGCATCGTGTTAAATGAACTTGTCAGGCTTTGTTATATATATATATAAGGATGAAAATTGAAAAGAAAAACTAGAAATACGGATCTACTATATTATGGAGTAGGAGAAAGAGGAAGGAGTGGTAGATATTAATTAAATGAAAATGTCAGGGAAAGAAGGTGGTGGTGTTTAATAATATATGAACCAAACAATACAAAGTACTTTATTATTGTCCTCCTTTGTGAGGTGATATATACATATAACAGGAATAATGGCAGTCACAAGAAAGGAGCTAGCATTGCATAAATTAGACCATATGCTTTACTCCCTTCTCCTTCAATGAAGTAAGATAGAAGCAACATCACCAGTGCGTACATGTGGGGTGTACCTAACGTTTACTACTCAGATTAATTCGATTGTCATCGTATAAATTCACTAATGGGTAAAGCGCTCCCTGTTGAAAGATTTTCTATTTTGAGGACTCAAACTTAAATTTTCAAGATCTCAGTCATTATGTCGAGCCTTAAAGTAACAGTAAAATTATTTACGTGTTTTCTATAGGTCACATGTTCGAACCGTAGAATCAGCCATTAGTACTTGTCTTAGGGTATGAGCAGGCCTAATAGAGTCTTGCGGATCAGTACGGAGACGTTTGTACTTATCTTCGAGAGGCTATAGGGTGTTAGGAAACTACCTTTCTTCATATTCCATCGTGCAATTGATGTAGTACTAAATATCTTTCTCTTATTCTCTCACAGATGGTGAGAACGCGCTCTAACGAGGCTCCAGACCAGGGAAGAGCTACTCCCCCAATTGTTAGAGGCCCAGGGAGGGCTCCAGTCCGTGATAGGGGACGAGGACATCCCAGGACTATTCCAGTTATGCCGACAGTGGGTTCAGTAGAGAATCTCATTATTGAGGAACAGGGTGAGGTGCCTGTGGCAGAGCCAGCTCCGGTGGATTTCACTATCTATATCACGTCCTTGGGCCGCAACCCACAGATGGTGAGAACGCGCTCTAACGAGGTTCCAGACCAGGGAAGAGCTACTCCCCCAATTGTTAGAGGCCCAGGGAGGGCTCCAGTCCGTGGGTAGGGGACGAGGACATCCTAGGACTATTCCAGTTATGCCGACAGTGGGTTCAGTAGAGAATCCCATTGTTGAGGAACAGGGTGAGATGCCTGTGGCAGAGCCAGCTCCGGTGGATTTTACTATCTATATCACGTTCTTGGACCGCAACCCTTCTCTGAACCATACGTGAATGCATAATACTTTGTACACCGGACTGCGTACTTCAGTCGTGTCATACTCCGATGGGTGGAGTGGGGTTCTCTTGTTCGTGGGTTGTTTCAAAGATTCAAACTTCAAAGCTCCTCAATATGAAATCACGAATCTCAACCAAGTCCTCTCACTCTTCACCCTCAATAACCAAAACTTTAAAAAGAAAATATCAAACACCAAAAATTTCTTAGAATCCTGTGATCATAGCTATGGATTCGGGGCAAGCGCAATCACACGCACGTATCTAGCAGATGTAACTATTAACTGCCTTCACAAAAAATTAAGTTAAAAAAAAAAGGTGGGGTGGGGGTGGCCAGGTGGGTNTAAGTTCCTTCTTCATTTGGTTCTTTTTATTGAGATTTGGTATTTTATACTGTTCGAATTATATATTCTTGTCCAATGTCCGCCAATGTTAAAAGAATAATCAACGGCTTCTTCGCCGGTAATCTTCTTATTATTTTTTGTCTCCATATAAGATATAGTTCACTTTATTAGTTGAGAGTAATAAATAGAACCAAATTTACCACTACCTCTTGTTTAATTTATATTCACTTCAAAACAGAGAGGAACCTTTATATAAAAGGAATTATGAAAAATCCAAAATGAAAAATCAGAGTAAGAGGACCTTTAGGAAGAGAAAATAGAATATCTGCAATAATTCTCATAATTCAAGCAAATGCAAAATCCAAGAGCCTTTTGCCTATTGAAAGACACTGATTAACATAAATTCCTATTAAACGATTTTAATTAAATAAAAAAGACCCCATAAAGTTGTCACTCGACCTTTATATTTGATTGTCGGTCCATTTGTCACTTTAGTTTCTTAATTAAGACGAACTAGTAGCTACCAAAATATTACCAACATTTTCCTATCTTCCTTTTTCTAATAATCATGGTGTCAGACAACTTAGTCGGACCTGGACTAATTTCACGGAATACATGTTACCCCACCAACAAAGATACAGAGTATTCTATCAATCAAAACACATGAAAAAAAATAATCTATCTAGTAATATTTTTAGCTTCGCTAAATTTTGAACATGATACATCAGAGTACAATTTCCTATCTTACTTTAATTTCTAGCAAGGAATTCAAGGAAATTAAAGAAGAAAAGATGCTCCTTGAGAGGTACGTCGAAAAGAAAGAGATTTGTAATATGACTATATATATATATGATGCTGAGCCAACAATGAGCTCATGGTTGTAACCACCCATTTTAAATTGTTCAATTCAAACTTGAAACCAATAGACAAGTTCACGAGGCACGACCCATGACTCTCTCAAGAGAGTTCTTACTTTGTCCCCAGAAAGCTCTACTTTTCATGTCCTTAGTGTTCACATATATACTTTACACACACACACACACATACATATATATATANAGCTCGTGCACTTGTGACACCAATTCTGGGATGGTATTTAGACACCGTTATTATTATGGATTATTTCAAAATTACTTTCGCATTTGCTTTCGCGTTATTAATAAATTTAAAAATTATTTTAAAAACGGTTAATATTATTCTAACGTTGGCTTGCCTAGCAAGTGAAATGTTAGGCACCATCACGGTCCGAAAGTGGGAAATTCGGGTCGTGACATTGCCACTGAAAATTTTTTCGTGGGAAATTTCCGTGGAAAAATGATGTGTTTCTAGTAGTTATATATATATATATATATATATATATATATATGAGTGTGTATCTATAAAATAAAAACAAAAACTTCCGTTTACTTTGCTTGATTAATTGATATTGTTACGTATCAGATCAAATGATGATCTATTAAGAATTTGATTATTTCAGTTTTACATACACATCAAAATTAAATAACATATAGTTTCTATTATGTTTACAGTTACAACAGCTCAGCTCTCTGGTGAAATGACTCTGATATTATGTGTAATAATTCGGTCCACTAGTGATATTTTTCATTTTGTGCCTAGACTCGCACGACTGTAAAACGAGTCACCAAGATCTAAGGTTTACTTCCTTAATTATATACCTAATATTTCTTCCGCATTTTGTCGAGATGAGATTCACATGGAATGTCACAATACGTACATGTTTACATATAATCTTTTTCTTGAAATTCTTTGTTCAATCATGGGGACCATCAAGCTATGCAAAGCAAGAAGAGTGGGGAGAATCAAGTAGATAGGCTGGCCATTAATTTCTATGGAATTAATGAGTGAATATTTCTGTGTGTATTGGCACTATGTTGACTTGGATGAGAACAAAGCTTAGCCTAGGAGAGATAGAGAAGCTCTTCGTCTTTAATTTTCCAATGGTGCCAAAGAGAATAAATACTACTATATCATATTTTGAATTTGCTTTGGAAGGCTCCTCTCTTCTTTTTGACAAATGCACGATATATACTTAATGCAATGACACTATATATATATATATATATATATATATATATATATATATGGACCCTTTCGTATCTTGTCATGTTTTCATGATAAAGAATGGGTCAGTTTGTTAACTTATTAGGGTAACTGCCAGCTTTTGAAAATCACGTGTTTGGCTTCTTTTTCCCCTCTCCATTCTTCTTCTTCATCATTTTGTGGTTATTTATTCTATTCTCACTAGATGTAAAATTTTGCCGTTGCGCACCAAAGTTTATTAGTGATTGGTACTTCTCAGAGAGAAATATTTGACTCTAAACAAAAAGATTGATTCAACTACATAGATTTGACATTGTTGATGATAATAGGTGTCATTCAAACAAACAATTCCAATAGAATTCTTCTAGCCAAATTGGCTAGGATTGGAAACGCATCTCTTACAAATCCAAAAGTATGGACCAATGTTATTGGAATCAAGATTCGAACATGAAGAGCACATCTGGAAATGAGCGATCTATACCTAAAAGGGCAACTTGATGCATTACGCTCCCGCTATGCACAGGGTCCGGGGGTCCAGAAAAGGGTCGGACCACAAGGGTCTATTGTACGCAGCCTTACCCTGCATTTTTGCAAGAGGCTGTTTCCACGGCTCGAACCCGTGACCTTCTGGTCACAGGGCAACAACTTTACCAGTTACGCCAAGGCTCCTCTTCGCGTGATCTACACCTATTAAACTCAAATCTAATGTGAAATGATTCCTCTGTCCTCTTTGCAAAGCATCAAATATGCAAAAGTCCTCATAACATACTATAGTTTCATTCTTGTGGTTTGCCTTTTTGGCCATTGAAATCCAAAATGTCCACAAAAATTGCAAATCCCAATCTTGTAGATATTATAATAAAGTACTTAGCTTTCAACACACATCACAAGTGTTTGCAAACTGGCTAGCATTATTAACAACGAGCTAACAACTTATATCATGTATCCTTTTTAACTGGGGAAATAGTCATATCATTGAAGTGGGAATATATTATAGGGACAAGTAAGGAAATCGTAAGGCAGTCGTGTCGAAAGAGAATATTCACATTAATTTAGCCAAAACACGCGACAGACCTGGCAAAATTGAACGCAAGGAATTGCAAACAAAGCATCACCTCCTTCGTTCTTTTTGATAGATAAAATCAAATTTAGTCGTCCTGAACTGTGTTCGTGCAATCCCTTCTCCTAGGATGTCTCAAGCTAATCAGTTGTAAGTTCTCAGCAAGCATATAAAGGCAAAGAAAGCAGAGTCCAGCATATGCAATAGTAACACCCGACGCTATCCTTCCCAGAGCTGATAACACATAAAGAGTAACCACAACCTTAAAGAACAAGCGTTTGTCATGGCCTGTAGCAGCAACCCGGAGAACAGACTCAGCAGCACCGATAGTGTTGGCAAGGCAGGCAAAGACGCTGTTGGCAACATCCTGAGAGATCTGCCACTCAAGCGGATCCACAGGAACTGAGATGTTCATCTGGCGAAAGAGGAGGCCGAGAATGGCGAGGGAACAAAGGAGTACAATAAAGACGTCTGAGACAAGAGAGACAAGACTGGAATTCCGATAGGCGCAGTGGTAGTAAACGAGGCTGCCACAGATGATGAGTATGAAGGGTTTACCCCCAACATCCGTCTTCCTGGGGTTTATTGTCCTTGCTGTAGTCTCATTAGCATTCAATTCCATTGATACACATCAACTAGAGAGATCAACCTGCGCCTTTGAGTTGTGGCCGTTGGGGCGCAGAACAAACTAATCCGTGACCAACAAGTTTCCCTAAAGCGAACCGAAAGGAATTGCTACGCTCAAAAAATTCTTGCTTGAGGGCTTCCTCATGCGTTTATAAGAGTTGACCACCCATATAGACAATATGGACGATTGTTAGAATGGTCAATCCTGGACAATTCTTTCCTGATGCTTCAAAATCCTTCAGCTGTAAGATGTATTCAAAATTTTAAATCAGCGGGCTGTAGTCACAAGTGTATTCAAAATTCTATGCTACACTAGATTTAGAAACTTCCAATTGCATTTGGACCTTTACCACATGCTTCTATCACTAAATCTTGTGGGAAAGAAATGTATTTTCCTTGGAATTTCTTGTGTTCGCCACAGTTAAAGATGAACGAAAACATCAAACCAAAATCAAGTACTAAATAGTAATACCGAAAATGTCATCGTGCCCCTATATATCTAGTCAAAATGTTCGATTTTCAGCCACTCCAAAAGGACCAAACAGCACATAATGATGCATTTTCAATAACTATACTTACCTCTAATTCAAGAACTTATAATAATTACCATTATTGAATTGCTTAATTTTTTGCTACTAGGGTTGTGACAATTTTTATTGTGCTAAAATTTTACAACATAAAACTCCTTTCTTTCTCACTTTATGGTAAATGGGGTTCACAAAATGCACTAAAAATTCGAACTCTATCAAATTAGTATCTTATAGTTTTGAATCCTTACAAATTCAAGAACCGTCAGATTACAAAAGCTGTGTAATTTTGCATACCTGTTTCTGAAGTTTGTTGATCCAATACTATGTGATAATTTAGGAGAATTCAGAATTCTAACCCCGAACAGAGTGGAATATATCAAGAAGAATCCCAAACTGGATAACGTAAAATATTAAACAAAAACTGAAAAGTTAATTTTCAAATCAAAATAAGGAATAATTCCAAGGAAGTATACTTACAAGTGGCGGAACAGCAGTCTCCGCCGTAGTTGAAGAAAGGAATTGAGAAGTTCGTTCGCCGGAATATAGCAATCGCAGCGGCAGTCGAAATGCTGGTCGGGGTTAGGGATTTCCGAAGTGGTTTTGGGAATCTGAAAAGGGAATTTGTGCTTTTCTTTAGAATTTGACAAAAGAAGTCCCTTATGTTCTGGATTGGTCTCTTATGATCCTTTAAATATATACCTAAACGATTTTAGTCCTAATTATTTACTAAATTCATTAGTTTTGGTCTATGTTATTATTAAAACACATGGCAGTATAATCTTTGATGAAAGTGGTTTATGAGAATTGAGAAGCACCTGATTCGTTTAAAAAGAAACCATCATGACAAACTTCTTCGAATTCTTTTTTTCAATTTGCACTTTAAAAAAAATCTAATTCTCTGGATATATTATTCGCTTCATTTATTCCTCAATTATATCAATTAGCGAATTAAATCAACGTTTATATCTCGTTAAAACCTTCAATATATACTTGCTGAAATCTTAAGGTTAAAGATTTTTCTTTTACCACGCAAGTTAGCACAGTGAATTAACTTCATTTTATTGCACTGTCAAACAGCTCTTTCATATCTAATTCTAGACTCTGTTTGGAAAAATATATAATATGATGGAAATAACTTAAGGTTCAGGAGGATAAAGGACCACAATATTTCTAAGACTTCAAAAATCAAGATGAAAGTCATAAAGTTTAGTAATAGAAAAGAAATATTAATCTTCATGGAGTGGCTCTTGTAAACTTTAATTAAATTTGAAGTCGCTAAGCTTCCGTTTGGCTATAAGTTTTTTTTTTACTTTTTTCCAAAAATATTTTGAAAACATTGATTGGTTATAAAAAAAAGTGGCAAAATTTTTTTCGATAGCTTTTGAAGATGAATCAAGTTTCAAAATGTTGTTTAGACTAGTTTTTGAAATTTTTTACTCACAAAATTTCAATATCTTTTCAAGTTAAATGTATATCTAAATACAATGTTAACTTTCAAAAACTATTTTTCGTCTCATCTTTAATTTTTTTTTTCAACTTTCAATCAAATCTATATCCAAACGACACCTCAATAATTTTAAAACCAATAAAAAGAACAAAAGAAAAAGGAAGGGATATGCTTTTCTAGATATATTACCATTATTACTACACTATAGAAAACTATAAAAAAGTTGTAAGTATCCCAGGCTGGATTACTACTGTTTTAGGTCTGCATGAGAGTGACTGAAGGATTCTCTTTTCTCTGCTTCCCTTATTTTTTATCTTCCTTGAAAGTAATGCTTTTTCTTGTTTTTCCTGTTTGGAATCAGAAGATATTTCTGCAATTTCTGAAAATTTTATTTTCATTTTTTCTCTTTATGTGTGTGATTTTAATATTATCTATCGTTTCCTCCTATGGGAAACGAGAAGTATTAATAACGTTCACGCCAGAATCCATAAACTTCACGTACAAAATAATGCTATCACTGTCTACTGACTTCCTTACTACTATAGTGTTGGAAACAACAAGGAGCTTTTACTTTTTCTTTTTCCTTTTTAATTAAAAAAAAGTTTTATTTTTCTATAAAAAGGATGACTTCTTGCAGTTTTCATTTTCCAGACTCAAATCATCTCTCAATCAAACTAGCTTGAAATTTAAATGATTTTTACATAAATAGCCGGTCGTCGGGACGACGCAGAGGTAGAGCTAGCCTTGCGAATCCATTAGTTTTGGTCCAAATTATGTATTTGTTTACAGAAATCCATTGAATATATACAAATTATTAATTTGGAACTCAGTAGCTTAAAATGACTAGAATTTCGGAACTTTTAAACTTCAAATCCTGACTCTACTTCTGCACAGATGTACATAGATTATACATTAGTGATCATATACATATTATATATTCGTTGATTATTTTGTGGATGGTTATTTGGGTTATTCTTCACATTTTTGTTAATTCTTTACTTATTTTTCTTTTTAACGGAGGACAGAACAAGAGAAATAATGGTACTTGAACACACTATAGGAAAACCAACTTCTCTCTCTGTGTCCAGACATTAGTGTTGTTTTTAGTGTAAGCTGTAAAAAAATGGGAATCGATGAAAGAGCATATCTTCCATCAATGAGTTACCACTTTTCACTTTTTTTCGTATTCTTTCCTTTGATTCTTTTGCTACTGAGCTGTTCTTTAATTTTATGGTGGTCATGTTGCTTCTCTTTAGAAGACCCGTTGGCTTGTTTGGAACCTCTATATATCGTTATGCCTCTGTCCTTATCAATTAGGCCAATTTACACTACCTATTGTAAAACTTTGTTCGATGATCTTCAATCCACGACTTGGAAAAAGGTTAAAGATGAAAACAAACTAGCCACTTTTTGATCGTGTAGCAAGGGCAAAATACCATATTCATCGGTTGACCAAAAATAATTGCATTCGCTAGTTAAAAATTATATAAAATATATATATATTTTTGTATATAATACACACACACACATATATATATATGAAATATTGAATCTAATTGATTGGACACGGAGTTTAAGAAAAGAGAGAAGACTTTTGA